TGCCTGTATTTACATCTCTATGACTACTCTTTGCCTCCTAGTTCTTTCCTCTATTTCTTTGTACTTTCCTCTTGTCCCACTATCATGTTCTGCCTTCATTTAGGTTTTATGCATTCCTCTTGGTTACATTGCCCTTGATCCAGCCCTGCAAGGCCTCCTGCACCCTCCTTGACATTGATTTTGGATCACTTGTTGTTCCCTTGTCCCTGTGCTTGTTAACACCCTCTTCCTTCCCCCTCACCCCTCTCCTACCCCCATGTTCCTCTGATCTGTCATCCCGTTGTTCTCTCTTCTGGCTTGTTTATTCCGCCTGTCCCTTCCAGGTTGACATGCTATGTACCATCATCAGACTGAGTGCAAGGAAGCAACAACAGAAAGTAAAACAATGTCTGCAACAACAACACGCACACATGCATACATATATAACCGTATGAATAGTTCAGGGTCTGTTTGTTTTCCTTCACATGTGCTTTCCAGTCAAGTCTGATGGGGTGCCATGCCCCGGCACCACCTCTGTCCATGAGGACCTCATCGCTCTGTTCCCCCTGCTGCTCTGATGCATGCCCCCAGGGCTGGCGTTTGTCGTGGTGAGCTCATGGTGGGCACAATTCCCACCGTTTGTCTCCATTGCTGTCCTCAGTGGTGCGATGGGTCAACGAGGAACACTATGTCCTGTGGTGGGGCCCGGCCCGTGGTCATCTCCGTGCATTGTGGTTCCGAACAGGCACATTGTTCCCAGGGCTCAGCGAGCCCGGATGTGCTCCACTCTTTCCTTTTCTTCCCCTTCCCCCCTCATTGGCTCACATGTGCTCCAACCAGACCAGTCCCCCTTCCCCTCTTCCTGAGCTGCAGCTTCAGTGATGTCTTCTGAAGTGAATTCCCCCTGGGGGATGGTGGTGCTGTGAACCCAGTTGGTAACGGGGCCAGTTTTTCCATATTCTTGTGAAGTTTTTGCATCACTCAATATTTTGCCCACAGAATCTTCTTTCACTATTGCATCTCAAGTCCTGAGTTTTTTCTTGAGTTCAGTTTAAGATATGCTGAGTATGTTCTTTTTTTAACTCTAGATCTTTGTGTGCAAAGATGTTAATAATAATATTTTACTTCATCTCCAGCTGACCTTTGAAATGGTCTGTTCAGCTCTTTGACTTCATCCTTTCTTCCATTTGCCTTAACCACTATGATTAAAAGCGAGTTTCAGAATCTTCTGGCATCCACTTTGATATTTTCTTTCTGTCCTTTTAAACGACCTTTTGCTTTCGTCATGGATGATATTCTTGATGTCATCTCACAGCTCATCAGGTCTGTCATTAGTGTTCAGTGTGTCAAATCTGTACTTGAGATGTTCTAGAAATTCAGGTGGGATAAATTCAAGATTGTAGTTTGGTTTTCATTGACATCTCTCACCCCCCATATTCTTCAGCTTCAGCTTGCACTTTCATATGAGCACTTAGTGGTATGTTTTATAGTAAGCCCCTGGCCCTCCCCCTCATTTTAGCTGCTGATATTGAACTACTCTATCGGTTCTTCCCACAGATGTAGTCAATTTGTATTCTATCTGGAGAAGTCCACCTATATAGTCACTGTTTTTGTGTTGCTGCAAAAATATATTTGCCATGAAAATATATTTGCCATGGTCTTGCCAAATTCTATCCTCTGAACTCCAGCTTTTTTTCTGTCGCCAAGACCAAATTTTCCAACTACTGTTCCTTCCTCTTTGTTTCCAACTTGTGCATCCCACTGGGCCATAAATATCAACGTATCTTTATTGCACATTTGATCAATTTCCAACTGAAGTCATTAGAAATCTTTAGTTTCTTCATCATAAGCTTTAGTGATTGAAGCATAATTTTGAACAGTAGTATTGATTGGATTTCCTTGAATCTGGACACATGTAATCCTATCACAGACAGCATAGTGTACTTCAAGACCTTGAAATGTCCTTTCTGATAATGAATGCAATGAATGTAAATACATTTATCTCTATTGTGTCATTCCTTGTATAGTAAATGATATGATTTTCTGATTCAAAATGGCCAATATTCATTTCAGCTCACTATCACCTAAGATATTAATCTTTTTTATGCATTCCATTTCAGCTTTGAAAACTTCCAAGTTTCCTAGATTCACGCTTCATACATTCCAAGTTCAAATTATTAATACATTTTTCAGCTGTTTCTTCTTATTATGAGTCATGCCCCATCAGCAAATGAAGGTCTTGAAGGCTTTGCTTCCACAGGCTTTACTCCATTCACACCATTATGGTCCACTTTACTTTGAGAAGGCAGCTCTTCCTCAGTCACATTTTGAGTGCCTTCTGACCTAAGGGGCTCATCTTCTGGCACTTCTCTGGCAATGTTCTGCTTCTAGTCACTAAGCTAAGGGTCCTCAAACTTTTTAAATAGGGGGCCAGTTCACTGTCCCTCAGACCCGTTGGAGTTGGAGGGCCAGACTATAGTTTAAAAAAAACTATGAACAAATTCCTATGCATACTGCACATATCTTATTTTGAAGTAAAAACCAAAATGGGGCAAAAACACCCGGTGGGCTGGATAAATGTCCTTGGCGGGCGACATGTCGGCCCTCAGGCTGTAGTTTGAGGGCCCCTGCATGAGGCCTTCAGCAGCTGACACTGTTTCAATGCTATGCATAAGGTTTTCAGTGGCTAATTCCTCTTTGGACTTTCCTTTTAGTAGTCTGTTCTGTTGAGAACTGTTCACTTTGGGTGACCCTGCTGGCTTTTGAAATACCAGTAACATAGCTTCCAGCATCATAGCAACACACAAGCTACCAGGTATAACAAATTGACAGACTAGCAGTGGAATTGGTGAAATAATTAGCCTTGTTATAAGAGCCATTTCTTACTGTTGCTTATCTTTTTCAGTAGTTCCTTTTTCTATGATTAGAAACCCTTCAGAACCTTATCACTAGAAGCAAGAACTTGCATCTTGGAACAAAGCATTTTGCTCCTCAGAATGAATGGAGACCAGAAAGTGGATACTTATGCCCAAGAAAAGCAGAATTTCATCCAGCATTTCTCCCATGTGCTCGCAGTGCTGACCGAGGATGACCTGGGGCACACAGAGACGGGAGACGCTGTTGCCCGGTTCAAGAAGGTCGTAGAATGCAATGTTATCGGAAGCAAGTACAACCGAGGTGTGACAGTGGTGGCTGTGTTCCAGGCGCTGGTGGAGCCCAGGAAGCAGGACGCTGACAGTCTGCAGCGGGCCCTGACCTTGGGCTGGTGGGTGGAGTTGCTCCAAGCTTTCCTCCTGATACTGGATGACATAATGGATTCATCCCTCACCCGCCGGGGGCAGCCCTGCTGGTACCAGAAGCCAGGCATAGGTCTGGATGCCATCAATGACGCCAGGCTGCTGGAATCCTCTATCTACCACCTGTTGAAGTTCTACTGCCGGGGGCAGCCCTACTACCTGCACCTACTCGAGCTCTCCCTGGAGAGTTCCTATCAGACTGAGAAGGGACAGACCCTGGACCTCATCACTGCCCCCCAGGGCAACGTGGGTCTCAGCAGATTTACCCCAAAAGAGGTACAAACCCATAGTCAAGTACAAGACCTCGTTCTACTCCTTTTACCACCCCGTCGCTGCTGCGCGTACATGGCAGGCATTGCCAAGCAGATCCTGCTGGAGTTGGGCGAGTACTTTCAGATCCAGGATGATTACCTGGGCCTCTTTGGTGACCCCAAAGTGATGGGCAAGGTTGGCACTGACATCCAGGACAACAATTGCAGCTGGTTGGTGATTCAGTGTTTGCAGCAGGCCTCTCCGGACCAGCGCCGGGTCCTGCAGGAGAATTACGGGCAGAAGGAGGCAGAGAAGGTGGCATGGGTGAAGGCAGTGTATGAAGAGATGGAGCTGCGGGCCCGTGTTCCTGCAGTACAAGGAAGCCAGCGTCTCCAGCCTCTGAGCCTCATCGAGCAGTACTCCGTGCCGCTGCTGCCCTCCGTCTTCCACACAGGATCTACAAGTGGCAAAAGTGACTTGGAGCCTGGGAGGACAGGCCTCAATAAATTATTGTTTAACCTTCAAAAAAAAACACCTTATCAACTAATAATTAGATTCTATAACACTTTTCCTCTGTTGCTCCCTGGGAACTTCATTCATTCATATTTATCATCAGGTGTGGAAAGTACTATTGTAGATTCTATGGAAGATATGAGATGAATAAGATATACTAACCACACACGGAAGAGTGTACAATCTAGTAGGCTAGGTAGAGCAGTTACACAAAGATCAGAATTCAAATTGTTAGGCTGGAGAGGGACACTGATAATTTCTAGTTCCTGAGATCAAGGAATGCTCAATGAAAGAAGTAGAATTTCAACTGTTTACAGAATGTGTAGGATTTGGCAGGCAAAGTTGAGATGAGGAAAGGTGCTAGCTCTAACTCAGCGATTCTCAACCTGTGGGTCGTAACCCCTTTGGGGGGGGGGGCGAACAACCCTTTCACAGGGGTCATCCGATTCATAACTAGCAAAATTACAGTTATGAAGAAGCAACGAAAATCATTTTATGGTTGGGGGGCCACCACACATGAGGAACTGTTTTAAAGGGCCGCGGCATTAGGAAAGTTGAAAACCACTACCCTAACTGACATGAGCAAAATTACTGGAGTAAGGCAGGTGTGGAATGATGAATTTCCAATCAGGTGTATATATAGAAATGTGGGTAAGTAGTAGAAGGAAGGTTAAAAGATAAGCTAAGTCTTGACTAAAGATTACTGAACAGGAAACCAGGGATTTTCTCTTCTTAAGTTGGCAGAGGTAAGCAGGGGTTGCTTTTCATGCTTTATTTTAAGTAGAAGAGAGTGAGTGATAAGATGTACTTTTAAGTGACGATTTTCTTTCACCCTTTGATTGCTATGTTTACTTCATTTTTAAAGAGAAATTACAGGTAGAGATACCACTTCTTTCAAGAAATGATAAGAATCCTCTAAGGTAACGAGAAAAAGCAATTCAGACTCAATGCCATTGAGTCAATTCTGACTCATACTGCCCTTGACGATATCCAAGACTGACTCTTCACAGGAGTAGAAAGCTACATCTTTCTCCTGCAAAGTGATGATCAGGGAAAGAGAGAAAAAAAGGTTGGAAGTACTTCAACAGAAAAATAGACTCCGTCGGGCAAAGGATTTAATGTTAGAGGAAAACTCAGAGGAATTATTAAAGGCTACTGAGAAGAGAATAATTTTGTATTTAGATGTTGGAGGGTAGTGTGCCATTAATACAAATAGGGAACTGAAAGGTGAACTTGGACCTACTTATTTTATATAAGAAAAATTGTAATTTTGATGTTAAATATATCTCATGAGATAAAGTAGTGGAGCTTGGTGGAGTAGATGAGTTGGGATATTGGTTTGAGGATTCATTTTCATAGAAGTTATAGTTTAAAATTTAAACTTTAAATCATGGGAGTGAATTTTCAGAGAAAGAAGAGAGAAGCATACTGAGGCCAGATCTCCCTGGGGGTAGGGGGAATGTGCAGGTTTGGATTATAAATTACTGATGAAATAGGGCAGTAGTTTTACTGAAATTTATGAAGAAGTTTTGAGGAAGGAGTCAGTAATGTTGCTGTGAGGTTCAAGAAAAAGGTCCAAGAAGCCGTTAGATCTGGCAGTCTTCAGTAGCTGTGTAGGAACCTAATTCCTCCTTTCTCCGTTCACTGTGTATGCAGTCTTTTTATAATATCGTCTTCTTTTATTTTCAGTTTCTGTTCTTTCCACTTTTATTGCCCTACTGTCCCTTCTGGCTCCCACTTTAAATAATCTGTACCATTTTTTGTTTTCTTCTGCTTCCTGCCTGTTCTCTGATCTGTTTCCAGCTGTACTTAATCTTGGTTTGGCAGACCAACTGATTTCATGGATTGCATTATTACAGCGTGAATTATGACACACGTCCAAGGCAGACAAAGCTGTGGTGCATGAATGTATTGTAGTTGAAAGCGTTTTTTGAGAACCTCCAGGGTGGATGTTTATGTTATTTCTATTAATAAGAATAGGATTAAAAATCCCAAAACACTTTATATCAAAACATTGGTATAATGGTGTCAGAGTTTAAGACATTGGTATCAAAACATTGGTATAATTGGTATAATTGGTGTCAAAGTATAAGACTTCTTTTTTTAATTAATAAGAAATATGTGTAAAAACATTTAAAATTAATACATAATTTATCATAACTTTCTCTTTAAGACTTTCACGTATAGTGTTATATGTTAGTTCAGTGTTTTATATTGAACTATTTTTTATCCCTTTCCTTGTAATATATTGTTTTATGTTAAAAATACAAGGGAACTTAGGAAAGTTCATGGAAAATTGGAATTAAAAGAAAATGGAAATTTCCTAAGAATTTTTCAAGCACATGCATATGTGAGTATAAACATGTACATATATGTGGTAGATTGAATTACTTGAGATAACTCTTTTAAGCCATAGTCCTGTAGCACACATCAAATAACTGAGTGAGACCAGGCTAATCAGATATGTGTAAACAGACATTAGTCTGAAAGGTCATGTCAGATTTCTTGACACAGCTTTGCCCCCAGGGGTTTTATAGGTACATGAAACATAATGGTAATTCATAGGAGAATGGGAAGAGGATGTTGGAAAAGAACTTAGCACAGCAGGTCAGAAGATTTTTAGATGGTTTAAGAAATGAGATGAATATAATGGACATTAATGAAGTTTATAAGCTCTAATGCAGCACTACAGGAGGTTGGGTGGATCAACAGAAACTTCTACTGGCCCCTTAATGATGAAGAGGCCCAAACAATTAGATTCTATTCAATTCAGCTGGGAGGAATTTAATAATGGGAATTTATATCTGGGACAACTGAAAGCAGAGGCTCAGCCAGTTGATTAGAACAAGAAATCTAATGAGAGATTGATCATTTTCTCAACCCACCGGGTTTTAAATGAGTCAGCTCAGAAGCAAGAATGGGGATACTGTATCTCATTACTATCAAGAAAGAATAGTTAGAAGTGGGTTGTGCCCTTTAGACCCCAAGATCTCTGCATGCTGAACCGGATTAATCCTGGAGATAGAGCTGTGATAACAGGGGAGCAGCAGAAAAGTAGTAGCAACAAAGGCAGCACCAAAAGCATAAAACAGACATTGGACTTCCCAGCTGATGGATCCAAAAAGTTCAGTGCCTTCTGGCCAGAGGTGTGCTTGAAGAGTGAGTTGCCTTCACACTCTTAATCAGGGAGCTAGGTTTTCTGACCCACAGAGCTTGAACTGAGTCAGCTGGCTAAAGCTTAGGGTTAAGGGGAGTGTACTTTGAGGCATTTATTGGCAGTGCTAAAAGAGACTTACAGCATTTCCAAGCATAGGCCATCGGGCCATGTGGCTATAGGTCTAAGACCAGAGAGAAGTCTGCTGAGTGCCTGGCTGGCAGGAGGCTATCTTGACCGAAAAACTGTGTCCTGTTTCTGATCTGAAATTGTAACCTCTTAGCTTCTCTAATACACCCCATAATCTTATTGTCTGAGTTCTATGTAGCCAGTTCAATGAATTGTTGACACAGCAGAGAATTAGAGAGTGCCTTAGAATTGGAATTTGCCTTAGACTAATGAATTTGATTTTCCTTCCCGTAGTGAAGACAGAAGTCAGACACATCTCCCCACATCATTCTTACATAACAGAATGTAATTTAAAAATACTGCTACCAGAGTTCCAGTTCATACGTGCATGGATTTAACAAAATGTGTTTTGAAATGCCTCTACAATCAGTGGATGGATGTAGGCAAGTTCTCTTGTTAATAATACACTTGTCTTAGTCTCAGGGTACCTCAAAAACAAATACCACAAAAAAACCTCCAATCAAAACAGTGGCTTTCAAGGGAGCGCTTCTGGGCCAGTTAAATTCAAGGAAGAGAGATCAGCTTAGAAGGTTAAAGCAATTGTTTTTAGGAATCCCAAAGGACTATCCTGATATAATTTCTGGAAGACACAGGACAATCATGGGAGAATTGTTATGAAGAAACATAACAAAAATTGAAAACAGCGTTGCTGAGAAAAAGGCAAGAAAAGTTGTGCCAAGACATTTTTATCAATCATGATATTCTTCAAAGTTAGTAAGGGCTGTCTGATGGAAATTTGTTGGGAAACCTTATCCCATGGATTCTACAACTCTGGTCTTTCCTTTTCAGACTTCTTTTTGTTCCCCAAACTCTGAATATATCAAAGGAACAAGATTTAAGTTCCTGGAGGTTGCCCAAACTGCTGTTTTGATGTGGTATAAAATCAAAGGCCTCAGAATTCTTAGGGGATGGATTAGAGAGATGGAAGTACAGCCCTTTAGAGTATGTAGATCTAGATGAAGGATATGTTGAAAAACAGCTTTGCATTTTGTATAATAAAGGCTTCTTTGATTTTACAACAGTAGTTTTTTACTTACCCTCATATTTTGGTCTGAACATAATTATCAATTATTTTAGGAGAGATAGTTAGCATTGTAATTATATGTAGTGTATTCATTTCGGTTTTAGAAATTTCACATAATTTGGAAGTATGTGAAATAAAAGTCAGAGATTCCCTTTCTTCCTTTCTCAGGTTTAAAACTTGTAAGGTGTTTGTTTTTCTCATTCCAGACCTATTCTGTGAGTTTACCTAATTTTTTGCATATACTTTTTTGTATCTACTTACAAAAAATAATATGTAGCTTATTTTAAACAAAATACACTTATTTCTAGGTCCTTGTTCATATTACTTAAGTGTGTCTTAGAGCGCTGCTTGTGGCAAGGTAAAGTTATACAAAGACGTGTGTCTATCTTCATAATTGAGTTTTGCGTTTATAAATGTTTTTAAGAAAATCTTTTAGAGTAATTAAAGATTTATAGAAAAGTTGTAGAGTTCTCATGTACCTCAGACCCTGTTTCCTCTATTTAAAAAACGTATTATAATATATTTATCTTGAGTAATGTACTATTTGATACTTTACTATTAACTAAGATATTTACTTTATACATTTTTTCCA